CCGCCCGGCAGCCAGATCAGACAGCGCAATCCTGTACTTAACCACTTAAGCAATAAACACACTTTCCGGTCCCAATACCTTGGAAGTGGCCAAGTAGAAAAACGTTCTCTGCGCAACAAACGAGGTCTAACTTCCTTGTGCTCAAAAGCGCCCCTCGGAGATGGCCACCAAAACCTTGCGATTTAGAAACCGCCCTGCGCTTTCTCCCCATCACCAGCTCTCTGGGACACAGCTTAGAGAGAGGTTGGGTGCAAGTAATTTTTTGGCCCACAACCCCCGGTTTCCTGCTGGGCCACTGGCTGCTTGATGCAAAGAAGCCTGTGAATTACTCACACACATACACACCTTCCTTCGGCCCTGTCATGACCCCAAATGTCAGCGTTAATCCTAAATATATTCTGTATCCTGAATATTCACGGGTAGTCATCTGATGCTGTTGGGTGTCAGTTTAAAACAGTATACACGAACAGCCTTATCTGGGAGGGGGAAATCGTGACACACACACACCCCAAGGCCATTCAAGAATTTTAGGGTGGGATTGTGAAGGCGAGCCCGTGGATTCTTTCGTTCTATTTCATGTGTTGAGAATCGCAATAGGTTTGGACTCGATGGGGTGGGGGGGGGTGTGGAAGCAAAATCTTTCTGAAATACGAATGTAGGCTCTATGCAGGGGGAAACATAAAATGTGAATGGATAGGCTGGAAAGCCAATTTGAGGTCATGGTTAGAGGGCTGACCTGGCCCTTGATAGAGAGAGAGAGAGCCGAGTTCAAGTTCTGCCCAAAACACAAAATTCAGCATACGCCATCCTGAGCCAGTCGATTTCCCACCCCATAAGGTTGATGTGATATTACAGTAGGTTGCTGAGTTATCAGGGTCCAGTTAATGAGTAAAGGAAATCACCGGGTTCTCTTTAAGGCCCACATCCTTCCTTTCTCAGGCCTCATCCTGCAAAGAGGCATCTCGGAGTTGAACCAAAAAAAAGGGCTCAGGGGAAGAAAGAATGAAATGCATTAATAAACCCTTTTACTAAACCTGGAATCTGCGGGAGTGGGGTGGGGGGTGGTTTAAATGTGAACCATTACCCGTGGTTTCTTATCCTCGCCCTTTTGGTCGTAAGGGGAGCCCCTTCAGCTTAGGCACCGGCGGCTGATGAAGATCATCCGCTCCGATCTCCCTCGCTTTTTCTCTCTCCCCGCGTCCGCGCCTCCCTTCCCCGCCTCCCCGGCCCCGGATGCCTTGGGAACGAGCAAACCAAGGAGGGGCCCTTCCTTTCCCCGATGGAGAAGCCGTAGCCAAGGCCTCCTGGCTGAGCCGAGGAAGGGGCCGGATTGAACCCCCCCTCCCCTCCACCTACCTCTTCCCCTCCTCTCCTTGGCCCGATCCAGAGGCATTGGGTGGGTGGGAACCGGCGTCCCACCCTCATCCTGCAGCCCAAAAGCTTTTGGGGGGGCTGGGCTGGGGGGTTCCGGCGTGTTTGGGACGTGCACCCTCTGGGCAGTATGCCTCCCCTCCCTCGGGCGCCCCGATCCTCCGACCGACGCCCCACCCCGGCTC